CTGATGGTACTCGGATGTTGCCATATCCTAAAAGTGGTACAATGGGTGAACAGATTGAAAAGCCCTGGCATAGAGAAGTTAATGATGCACGGGTTACTATTTGACATTGCTTATTTCAGTTGCTTATGTAGAGCATTGTATGAATTTCAGGCTGATAAATACAATACTACTTTGTTTACTGGACAGACTTCTTGTACCCTTTGAACTTCTTCAGGCAAATCATCTGATAGGTCCCAGGAGGCTAGCCGGGATGTCAGATTGGAGATGCTTGAGTTGGCATATTGAACTAAGACACCTCTAGATTTGCAACCACGGTGAATTGGTATATATACACATGTGAAGCCAAAACCATATTACTGATTAATGCAATGAGAAGCCTCCCTCACTTGAATTATGAATAAATTTGGATGAATTAATATTAGTATGAATTGTGGTTTGTTAATCCACAAAGAACTTGTTCACACATCAGGGCATAATGTAATTAGGTTTTAATATGATAGATATGAATCCAGCCAATATCAGCATTCAGGTGAGTTCCTAGATAGACATAACAGATGAGAATTTTCAACAGGCACAAGAAGGTAATCTAAAGTATAGGTAATCTTCAATTTACAACCAGAATAGGGACTGGGAATTTTATTAAGCATGGGATTAAGTCAGGGGTAGGCAACCTTGGCTCTTTTATGATTCGTGGACTTCAATTCCCAGAATTCCTGAGCCAGCCATACTGCTCAGGAATTCTGGGAGTTGAAGTCCACGAGTCATAAAAGAGCCAAGGTTGCCTACCCCTGGATTAAGTGAATAATCATGTGACAGATTTTACAGACTTTTTTGCCATACTCATTAAGTCAATCACCATGGTCATTAAGTGAGACATGTGACCACGTCTTGTGAACTTGCTGATTTTTTCTTTTGCTTGTCAGAAGCTGGCTGGGACGATCACACATTGCAATCACATGGCAGGAAGACGCTGCGACCATTGTTAAGTGCAAGGACCACTTGCAAGTCACATTATTCAGCATGATCATAACTTCAAACAGTTACTCAGCAAATGGTTATTAAGTTGAGGACGACCTCTATGGCACGTTCTTTGTGGATTAGTGACTTCTTAAATTTGTGCAGCTGCCTGTGCATTTGTGAGAAATAATTCCTATGTTTAGCGGGATTGACTTCTCCAGTAATGTCAAAAGAATAATGGATAGTCTTGCAGGGAATATGGAATTTCCTGCTTCCTCTGTAAAATAATTGTAGTTAATTAATTACCTGTGTAATTTCCTGCTTCCTCTGTAGAATACCCCACAGTTATCCATCCTTACCTTCAAAAGAGAATAAAACAAGACTGCAGGTTCTAGGTGCTTTCTTAGAATTAGATCTGGGATAAGTTGCATTTTAACATGGTCTTCATCCATATATCTCCCCACAGGTCCACCATGTCTGACAGAAAGGCTGTGATCAAAAATGCTGACATGTCTGAGGACATGCAGCAGGATGCTGTTGATTGTGCCACGCAGGCCATGGAGAAGTACAATATAGAGAAGGATATTGCCGCATACATAAAAAAGGTATGTTTCTGTCGGCGAAGCGCAAGGGGGCAGGGGCGGGGTTGAATAGGTTGAACAGGTTGTTCTCGAATTATAACCCTAATAGAGCCTTGCCTGTTATGATTGTGACAGTTGTGAAGTGATTCATCATGTGACTGACCCAATTTTACATGTTTTTTAGCAGTTGTTAAGCAAATCACTTTGGTCATTATTAAACAGTTGTTTGCAGTGGGGCAGTTTTGCTGAAAATAGGAAGTAGCCCTATGTCAGGGGTAGGCAACCTTGGCTCTTTTATGACTCGTGAACTTCAACTCCCAGAATTCCTGAGCCAACATAGCTCAGCTTGAAAACGTTTCCCTTTCCCCTCAGCATGGCTGGCTCAGGAATTCTGGGAGTTGAAGTCCACGAGTCATAAAAGAGCCAAGGTTGCCTACCCCTGCCCTATGTCAATCAAGATTCAATCAATCCAGGGCAAAGGTATCTAAACGATTGAATCATGGCAACTGGACCAAACTTTGTTAATGTGAGACATTTCGTTGCTCATCCAAGCAACTTCATCAGTCAAAATAAAAAATTAGGCAGTCATTGGAACGTACCAATTCTTGCCACACCAACTTTAGGGGTTTCTCCCCAAAATGCATTGCAATATATCAATATGAAGTAAGTGGCAGTTTTCTGCAAAAAAATAATTATGGTCATGTGACCATGGGATGGTGCAAACGGTCATAAATATGGGCTAGTTGCCAAGTGCCAGAAATGCAGTTACATCACTGCAGGGGAAGCGAGATTGGGACGTTGATCTGGGTTGTAAGTAGCTTTTGGGAAGGTATGTTGTAATTTCATTGTACTGGCTTATCTGAGCCAGATACTTCTGGAAAAACCTCAAGCGAGTCTTACAAGCAGTTACAACTTTTCTGTCGCTGCTGTCTTTGATTTAGAAGATTCTTTCTGATTATTATAGAAGTGAAGTTTGCCTATCACAGCCTGGTTTCCTTAGGCAAGGAATCGTACAGTCAACCAGCGCTGCTGGCTGGGGAATTCGTTGTAAACCATGATTGGTGTCTGAATACAAAATAATTAAACCAACACTGAAAAAACTTGTTGCAATTTGGGGTAATGACTATACCGAAACAAGACAGTATAATTGGCCTGTCTAAATTCTGTGTGGACTATTGATTGCAGAGTTTCAAACAAAGATTTCTCCTTAGAGATCCCAGGAACCAAACTAGGGACAGAACGTACGTGTTTTGTCTGAGTAACTCTCTCTGAATTGGAAGGCTTATTGTGTTCTGCCTTTACTTATTTCTTTAAATTCAAAGCCGTTAGACAAAACAAACAGAAACATTAAGTGGGGATTTTTTTTTAAGTGATACTTTCTATGGAGCAAGATCCAAACTGATTCGCAAAGAGTTGTTAACAATAAAAACTTTTTGGGAGGAGTGAGTGCGCTAATGAATTGAGGAACGGAGTTAACATTAGGTGCAGTTAACTCAGCTGCCTACCTCTGAAGATTTGGAATCTCAGGATGATTTAATTAAATCTACTTAATTAAATTATTATAAATTAATAAATTAATTTTATGAATTAAAATGATAAAATTATTATAAATTAAATTAAGTAGATTAAGAAGATTTAGGTCTCGGGATGTGAGGAAAAAAACAACTGGAAATGCAAATGTGGAAGAGCCAGGTATTAGTAAAGAATACAGATGGTCCCCAACTTAAAACCATTCATTTAGCGACGGTTTGAAGTAACGTACCACCAGCCCTCACAGTTAACAACCATCACAGAATCCCCAGTCACATGATCAAAATTTGGTTGCTTGGCAACCAGTATTTATTTATTTTTATTAATGTTTTATTTTCTGGTTTTGCAATCATAAGTACTTAATAACGTGTTGTCTGCGTCCATTAGTAATTCAGTGGTACATATTAACTTCTTCNTTTTTTTTTTTTTTTTGGTCATCAAGTTTTTGACAGCTTGCTAGGCGACTGATGGTACTCGGATGTTGCCATATCCTAAAAGTGGTACAATGGGTGAACAGGTTGAAAAGCCCTGGCATAGAGAAGTTAATGATGCACGGGTTACTATTTGACATTGCTTATTTCAGTTGCTTCTGTAGAGCATTGTATGAATTTCAGGCTGATAAATACAATAGCTGCTTTGTTTACTGGACAGACTTCTTGTACCCTTTGAACTTCTTGTCTTCAGGCAAATAATCTGATAGGTCCCAGGAGGCTAGCCGGGATGTCAGATTGGAGATGCAGTGAAATCCTGGTTTGTTTCAACTATTGTGTTGAATAAGGCATAGTGCTGAGTTGGCATATTGAACTAAGACACCTCTAGATTTGCAACCACGGTGAATTGGTATATATACACATGCGAAGCCAAAGCCATATTACGGATTCATGCAATGAGAAGCCTCCCTCACTTGAATTATGAATAAATTTGGATGAATTAATATTAGTATGAATTGTGGTTTGTTAATCCACAAAGAACTTGTTCACACATCAGCGCATAATGTAATTAGGTTTTAATATGATAGATATGAATCCAGTCAATATCAGCATTCAGGTGAGTTACTAGATAGACATAACAGATGAGAATTTTCAACAGGCACAAGAAGGTTAATCTAAAGTACAGGTAATCTTCAATTTACAACCAGAATAGGGACTGGGAATTTTATTATTAACCATGGGATTAAGTCAGGGGTAGGCAACCTTGGCTCTTTTATGACTCGTGGACTTCAACTCCCAGAATTCCTGAGCCAGCCATACTGCTCAGGAATTCCGGGAGTTGAGGTCCACGAGTCATAAAAGAGCCAAGGTTGCCTACCCCTGGATTAAGTGAATAATCATGTGACAGATTTTACAGACTTTTTTGCCATACTCATTAAGTCAATCACCATGGTCATTAAGTGAGACATGTGACCACGTCTTGTGAACTTGCTGGTTTTTTCTTTTGCTTGTCAGAAACTGGCTGGGACGATCACACATTGCAATCACATGGCAGGAAGACGCTGCGACCATTGTTAAGTGCAAGGACCACTTGCAAGTCACATTATTTAGCATGATCATAACTTCAAACAGTTACTCAGCAAATGGTTATTAAGTTGAGGACGACCTCTATGGCACATTCTTTGTGGATTAGTGACTTCTTAAATTTGTGCAGCTGCCTGTGCATTTGTGAGAAATAATTCCTATGTTTAGCGGGATTGACTTCTCCAGTAATGTCAAAAAAATAATGGATAGTCTTGCAGGGAATATGGAATTTCCTGCTTCCTCTGTAAAATAATTGTAGTTAATTAATTACCTGTGTAATTTCCTGCTTCCTCTGTAGAATACCCCACAGTTATCCATCCTTACCTTCAAAAGAGAATAAAACAAGACTGCAGGTTCTAGGTGCTTTCTTAGAATTAGATCTGGGATAAGTTGCATTTTAACATGGTCTTCATCCATATATCTCCCCACAGGTCCACCATGTCTGACAGAAAGGCTGTGATCAAAAATGCTGACATGTCTGAGGACATGCAGCAGGATGCTGTCGATTGTGCCACGCAGGCCATGGAGAAGTACAATATAGAGAAGGATATTGCCGCATACATAAAAAAGGTATGTTTCTGTTGGCGAAGCGCAAGGGGGCAGGGGCGGGGTTGAATAGGTTGAACAGGTTGTTCTCGAATTATAACCCTAATAGAGCCTTGCCTGTTATGATTGTGACAGTTGTGAAGTGATTCATCATGTGACTGACCCAATTTTACATGTTTTTTAGCAGTTGTTAAGCAAATCACTTTGGTCATTATTAAACAGTTGTTTGCAGTGGGGCAGTTTTGCTGAAAATAGGAAGTAGCCCTATGTCAGGGGTAGGCAACCTTGGCTCTTTTATGACTCGTGGACTTCAACTCCCAGAATTCCTGAGCCAACATAGCTCAGCTTGAAAACTTCTCCCTTTCCCCTCAGCATGGCTGGCTCAGGAATTCTGGGAGTTGAAGTCCACGAACCATAAAAGAGCCAAGGTTGCCTACCCCTGCCCTATGTCAATCAAGATTCAATCAATCCAGGGCAAAGGTATCTAAACGATTGAATCATGGCAACTGGACCAAACTTTGTTAATGTGAGACATTTCATTGCTCATCCAAGCAACTTCATCAGTCAAAATAAAAAATTAGGCAGTCATTGGAACGTACCAACTCTTGCCACACCAACTTTAGGGGTTTCTCCCCAAAATGCATTGCAATATATGAATATAAAGTAAGTGGCAGTTTTCTGCAAAAAAATAATTATGGTCATGTGACCATGGGATGGTCCAAACGGTCATAAATATGGGCTAGTTGCCAAGTACCAGAAATGCAGTCACATCACTGCAGGGGAAGCGAGATTGGGACGTTGATCTGGGTTGTAAGTAGCTTTTGGGAAGGTATGTTGTAACTTCACTGTACTGGCTTATCTGAGCCAGATACTTCTGGAAAAACCTCAAGCGAGTCTTACAAGCAGTTACAACTTTTCTGTCGCTGCTGTCTTTGATTTAGAAGATTCTTTCTGATTATTATAGAAGTGAAGTTTGCCTATCACAGCCTGGTTTCCTTAGGCAAGGAATCGTACATTCAACCAGCGCTGCTGGCTGGGGAATTCGTTGTAAACCATGATTGGTGTCTGAATACAAAATAATTAAACCAACACTGAAAAAACTTGTTGCAATTTGGGGTAATGACTATACCGAAACAAGACAGTATAATTGGCCTGTCTAAATTCTGTGTGGACTATTGATTGCAGAGTTTCAAACAAAGATTTCTCCTTAGAGATCCCAGGAACCAAACTAGGGACAGAACGTACGTGTTTTGTCTGAGTAACTCTCTCTGAATTGGAAGGCTTATTGTGTTCTGCCTTTAATTATTTCTTTAAATTCAAAGCCGTTAGACAAAACAAACAGAAACATTAAGTGGGGATTTTTTTTTAAGTGATACTTTCTATGGAGCAAGATCCAAACTGATTCGCAAAGAGTTGTTAACAATAAAAACTTTTTGGGAGGAGTGAGTGCGCTAATGAATTGAGGAACGGAGTTAACATTAGGTGCAGTTAACTCAGCTGCCTACCTCTGAAGATTTGGAATCTCAGGATGATTTAATTAAATCTACTTAATTAAATTATTATAAATTAATAAATTAATTTTATGAATTAAAATGATAAAATTATTATAAATTAAATTAAGTAGATTAAGAAGATTTAGGTCTCGGGATGTGAGGAAAAAACCAACTGGAAATGCAAATGTGGAAGAGCCAGGTATTAGTAAAGAATACAGATGGTCCCCAACTTAAAACCATTCATTTAGCGACCGTTTGAAGTAACGTACCACCAGCCCTCACAGTTAACAACCATCACAGAATCCCCAGTCACATGATCAAAATTTGGTTGCTTGGCAACCAGTATTTATTTATTTTTATTAATGTTTTATTTTCTGGTTTTGCAATCATAAGTACTTAATAACGTGTTGTCTGCGTCCATTAGTAATTCAGTGGTACATATTAACTTCTTCAGTCTAGGCCCAGTATTACACCTTCCAATGCTTCCTCTCTTCCAGTAGTACACATTTTCCCACACTAGGCAAATACAATTCTTATTGTTGTTAATACATATACAGTTGAATATCAACATCTTTGTTACATTTTTCTAATAATATCAGTAATATCAATTTAGAGTATCTTTTGTAACCGAAACATTTGCACTTAATATCCATTTGTTCAATCAATCATCCTGTTTTTCCCGCTTTTTCTATTTTTAATTTCCCATCAGAGTTCAAAATGTCTCTTATCACTTACATTTTCTCGTAGATTATATTTGGGTAACCAAAGGCTTCTTCCCTTATTCAAACCCTCTTAACATTTTCATATTTCCTATAATATAACTGTATTCTAGTTATAAATCCTATTGTCTTTCTTATTCCAAACAGTATATACAAAAATAGAGCAAGAAATACTTGATGATTCAAATGCACTGACTTGGAAAGTTAGATGGCAAAGGAAGAAAGCTAGAGTAAGACTGAAGAAAATAGAGGTTTTGACTTATTGGATCGGATATTATATCATTAACTAAAAGTTTGAATTTGGCTTTATATTATATTTATGACAGATGGAGCATCTCAAGGTCATGTGATTGACATTTGCCACTTTCCCAGCTGGCTTCCAACTAGCAAAGTCAATAGGGGAAGCTGGATTTGCTTAACAGCTGTGGCAAAAAAGGTCATAAAATGGGGCATGGTTCACTTAAGAACTAGCTTAATACTAACTTTGCACACAATTGAGTCTTTGTGTGTTTAGCATATATTAAACCAAAAATCATCACAGTGGGGTCCATGTTGCTCTCTGAGCTTGGTGGTTTTCTTGCAGATGTTTCATTACCCAAACTAGGTAACATCAGTGCTAGTGGTAGCTTGGATAATGACATCTGCAAGGAAACAACCAAGCTCAGAGAGCACCAAGGGACCCCATCGTTCAACCCTGAGCTTCAAATAATCGCTTCTAAGTCACAGTGTTTGTGTTCAGGCAACATATCAACTTGAAACCAGTCACACATTTATGAAACAATGGTGCACATGTTTTTTTTACTATGAGTATATCCCTTATTAAAAGGAAGGGCCCCCACTCTAAATATTTATGTGGTGTATCTATTTTATAGCACTTGTATGTGCAACAGCTTTCCCATACATTGGAAAATTGTGCCTAAATAAAAGATGTTTATGACTTTACATTCAAAGTCTAAAGTGTCAAATGCTTCTACAAAGAGAATTTAAGTCTTTGTGTGAATTTGAGACCTTCTCTTTGAATGTTTAAGTCCTTAAAGCTACCAGTCCCTCTGTATTTAGACAGCAGAAACAGTATGCTGGAAACGTTTTCTCAATGGAGTCCTTATAAATAGTAATTGCTGTTATAGCATAGATCCGTTTATACATCAGACTAATTTTTGTCCTTTGAAAAGTAAAACTAGCATTAAATTTTAATATATCAAGGAGATGTAGCCAGTTTCTCCTTTCTTTATTGGAGGGATAGGGAATTTACCTTACCTAGATCTAGGAGGTTTTTTTTGTAAACTCTTTAATATAAATTTTAAAACATGATGTATGATTACAGGACACTGCAAAGAGCTGTAAATGTTGGCCAATTGCTGAGAGCCCAAAATGCGGTCACATGACCATGGTGGGGCATTTGAACTTTGGAACCAGATCGTATATACCCCAAGAGAGAGAGAGACCCATTGTTTCCCCGAAAATAACGCCCAATCGGAAAATAAGGCCTGGCATGATTTTTCAGGCCGCTTGTAATATAAGCCCCACCCCCAAAATAAGCCCCAGTTAAAATAGTTAGCCAGATGGACGCATTTAATACCATATTTCCCTGAATATAAGCCCTAACTGGAAAATAAGCCCTAAATGCATCTTTTGGAGCAAAAATTAATATAAGACCCAATCTTATTTTGGGGGAAATGCGGTTTTTGTAAAAAAAAATATATTATCACAACTAATAAGTATACTTTGCTTTATGTACAATGCAGTTTTACATGTCATGGAGTGTGAGATTTTATTTTAAAAAAATATTGAAATGATCAGAAGCAGACAGCTGGGTGTTAAATCTTTGAGGACTACCCTATACAGGTAGTCCTCTACTTATGACCACTATTGAGCCCAAAATTTATGTTGTGAAGTGAGACATCTGTTAAATGATTTTTACGACCTTTTTTGCCACAGTTATTAAGTGAAACACTGCAGTTAAGTTAGTAACATGGTTGTTAAGTGAATCTGGCTTCTCCATTGACTTTGCTTGTGAGAAGGTTTTAAAAGTGACCACATTATCCTGGGACATTGCAACCGTCATAAATATGAACCAGTAGCCAAGCTTCTGAATTTTGATCATGTGACTATGGTGATGCTGTAATGGTTGTTAGCGTCATAAGTCACTATTTTCAGTGCCGTTTAACTTTGAATGGTCACTAAATGAACTGTTGTAAGTTGAGGACAACCTGTATTCTCCGGGCAAGGGATTATGGCAGTGTAGCCAAGAACATTTGAAGCATTGTCCAATCAAAGAGGTAGTCAAGAGAAACACTCGAGTCTATTTCAAGGAAAAATAGAGTTGGCATGATCCCGCCATATATTTTTAATACTGTCCTTGGGTCACATTAAAAAGTGTCATTTGGTTGACTTTAGTGGTGGCCCCCAAGTCCGCCTAAAATTGAGGTGGGCTGGGAAAGTGCAGTCAAAACCCTGTTTCTTTTTTTATGGATGTTGTGCAATGCACACACATCCAAATTCTCCTGTGCTTGCCTCATCATGGTGTCTGTGGTGTTGCTCCTGGGAGGAATGAATATATACTTTTTTGGCATATACTCCTGGGATTATATATATTCCCCTGCCACTCAAGGTGTGACGCTCATTCCCGCAGCCCAGTTAAAGCAAGCAGACCACTGCATTGGTCAGCAACAATATTGTAGAGCAGAGGTGTCCAACTTTGGCACCTGGCTGGGGAATTCTGGGAGTTGAAGTCCCCAAGTCTTAAAAGTTGTCAGCTCTGTGGACTTCAACTCCCAGAATTTTCCAACCAAGCATGCTGGCTGGGGAATTCTGGGAGTTGAAGTCGATACAGTTTAAAGCTGCTGAAGTTGTGAAATACTCCTGTGGTGGAAGATACCAGAGGCCAACAGCAAAAAGGATCAATGTGCAACAGTGTGCAGAAGGCCTATAGTATTATATTTTTTACTTGTATTTTTACCAAGAAAACCACAGGGATAGAGAGTTGAAAGCAATTGGCAGTTTATGGAGACCATATAACTGAGCTGTTGGTAAGAGTCCGATGGCACATAAATCAATGCAGGGGCAGTTTCCCTCACACAGTTGCCATTTTCAGTTTCTGACACACATCCCCTCCCCCATTCCTCAGGGCTGGTCCAAAAATTCAAGATGGTGGCCTCCACTGTGCAGTCAAAGCCGTGGCCCTTGTCTACATTACACGGCTGGGTTCGTTTTCCAACTGCAGATGCTCACGTCACCTTTTTTTCCTCCCCTTACAAACCATGATTGCATGTCTGAAAATGCTCTGTCGAAGATGCTGCACAGACCGCTGTTTTTCACCTTTCCTTTTCGCTTTTGCTTTTTCCCCAGGAATTTGACAAGAAATACAACCCCACCTGGCACTGCATCGTGGGCAGGAACTTCGGTAGCTACGTAACGCATGAGACGAAGCACTTCATTTACTTCTACTTGGGCCAAGTGGCGATTCTGCTCTTCAAATCCGGCTAGGGGTTCAGGCCAGCACCTGTGGGGGGGTCACGGCTGGTGAGGAACATGGACTGTAGCACTAAAGACCGGCTCCAGCTCTTTAACCATGGCTGCGCCACTGCATGGACTCGATACTATATTTAATGTGTATATGTTGCCGTAAAAAATACCTACAATTCTCATTTCTTTCTCTATTTTGGGGGGATTGCCTAGGAGAAGAAAGGCAGCGTATTATCCTCTCTCTTCCTCCTCTTTTTTTTGTTTTTGTTTTGTTTTGTTTTCCCTTTTATGTTCCTGCTTCTTATTTTTTCTGTTCTTTTGCACTAGGAGAACTGTAAAATGCTTCAACAATGGCCTTTAAGTGAGAAGAAGAAATAAAATAAAACAAGAAACTTCAATTCCACAAAACAAATCTTTGGGTTTAAACTTTCTTCTTGCAGAAGGCTGGAGGCCTAACCCTAGCAGAGCGGGGGTGGGGGGGGAACTGTGTTAGGTGTAGAATCTCTCTAAAAGTTCACTAAATTATTTTTAAATTCCTGTCTAGCTTCCACTTCCCGAAATGGCACTATTGTCCCATGAAGTCGCCTTAGCTCTAAGCAAAGTGATTGGAGGCAGCCCTGGGTGTGTCTGTGTATCTGTGTGTTGTCTTGGCCCAATTTTCTTTGCTTTTCTTTGATTCACCCGTGCTGCCTCCAACACAAATGGAGCAAACAAAGCTGATAACGGATTTGCAAAATGCGTGGTATCCTCTAAAGGAGACGCTTCTCTCTCTCTCCCTCCCCCCCAAGAATCGGCTGGCCTGGTCTGTATCGGCATTTCCAAAGCATTTTTCAAATGAAAGATGTCTACTCTTGTGTCCAAGATTCTGTCGTGATGCCCAATGGGATGTGATCAGGATTTTCTATGCCCCTGTTTTGAGTCCGTACAGTATTGCCTTATTGTAGCTCACGTCCTCTCGTTGTGCAGGGAAGATCCTGTCCAAAATCAGTGGCTTAAATGTTGCTGTGCTTTAAATGTCCTCCAGTAAAGATGGATAGACCTTCATCTCTTAGAGGCTGAACCCCAGTCTTCTTCTTCTGTTGGCTTTCTATTCTTATACCCTCATGACCCAACAAGAAGAAGGTCGTCGGGAGCATCTCTGTACCTAACTAGCTCCTGAACGTGCAAGAAAAGGTCTCCTCTGGGCTTTCTTAGCTTCCTTAGTCTATGGTTGTACAGGAATACGTTTAAGTTCTGTTGCAACAATAAAAAAAAAATAACCTGGGATTGTTTTTTTTCTTTTTGCAAAGGTGACGTATGAAATGCAGTGTTAGCTTTAATATCTCTGGTTTGCTTTTTGCAGTTCAAAGAGCCTAGAAATTCTATTTTGGGGGGTTGGGAAAGCAGTTCTCTTAAAAAACAAACAGGATGCAAAGAAGCAAGAAGACTTTTATTGAAGGAGTACTTAAACTCCTGGGTTCATGGAGTTTCTCAGTCATCCAGGTCCTTTCAAAAGGCAACTGGACCTTCTTGGATTTTCCTTTTGAAAAGCTTCGCTTCTCATCCAAGAACTGAAGAAGAAGCTTCTTGGATGGGAAGCAAAAAACTTCAAGGAAAAAAAAACAAAAAGCCAATTGCCTTTTGAAAAAGCACCTTTGAGATGCCCTGGGTTCAACGTGTGAGAATGCGGTCCCTGTTCTTTTCCATTCGATACACAAAGTTATTGGTTAGAGAATTATGGCGGTCTCCCCTCATTTATTGGGGAGGGGGCTGTGTCTGAAAGAGCAAGACAGATCCAAATCGTAAGAATGCTGAATCCAAAGCATACCCAAAATTACAGGCTCCTTGTTAGAACTGTTTCATGAAACAAAACAAACGGTCAAAGTCGGAACGGCCGTTGTGTTTTAATGTTCACTGATATTTTTTTTTCCATCCAAAGAGGCAGAGAGGCAGTGGCAAAATAAGTGCCTGGGGTTCAGAGGGCACCGTCCCACAGAAAACATTGTCCTTCATTGGAGAAAAAAAAAAAAGACGACTGTCTTGTTTCTTTAATTCTGTGCATGAGTCTAACTGTGAATAAGCTCACTTCATGGAGTGCGAGAAACGAATCCTTCCCATCCTAACCGCAGTTGCTCAGACTAACCCTTTTTATTTTTCAAAAACATTAAAATCAAATTGACACATTTAAGAACGGTGTTGAGTTTTGTTTTTGGGGTGTGTGTGGGGGGGTTGGAGTAGAATATGTACACAATTTGGGGTATTCTGGAGGAGACAGGTAGTCCTCAACTTACAACAGTTCATTTAGTGACTGTTCAAAGTTACAACAGCATTGAAAAAAGTGACATGGTCGTTTATTCACATTTTGACCGTGGCAGCAGTCCCACGGTCACGTGATCAAAATCCTGAAGCTTTGCAGCCGACTCGTATTTATGACTGTTGCAGAGTCCCGGGGTCATGTGATCACCTTTAGTGACCTGATGAGCAAAGTTAGTGGGGAAGCCAGATTCACTTAACAACCATGTTATTAACTTAACTGCAGTGATTCACTTAACTGTGACGAGGTTGTAAAATGGGGGAAAATTCAGATAACTCGTTTAGCAACAGAATTTTTGGGCTCAATTGTTACAAAGATCACCTGTAGTGCTGATCAGGTCATCTTTATGACTTTATTAAATTTATATGCCACCCATCTGGCTATTAATAGCAACTCTTGGCAGTTTACAACATAATACAAACAAAGATTAAATACTTAAAGAGCATGGGGGTGGGGATCTTCTCTCTAACCCATCAGTCACTCCCAGCATAGTGTCCCTATCGGAGCCCTAGGCAAGCCAACGGCCAGGTTTTAAGACTTGTAGTAGACCAAGATTATGGGAATTGAGCTCCCCTTCAATGGGAGAATATTCCAAAGGGTGGGGGCCACAGCAGAAAAGACTTCTAGATCCCACTAGCCAAAATTCTTAAGCAGATGGGATCTAGAGTAGGCCTCTTCTGGAGTGAGTGGGATGGGCCAATCCTATTGAGGTGAGATGGTTCCTCAGATACCCCAGACTCATGCCATAGTGACATAGCAATAGCACTTAGACTTATTTACCTCTTCACAGTGCTTTACAGCCCTCTCTAAGCAGTTTACAGTCAGCCATACTGCCCCCCTTCCCGATGATCTGGGTCTTCATTTTACCGACCTCGGAAGGATGGAAGGCTGAGTCAACCTTGAGCTGGCTGGTGAGAATCGAACTCCTGGCAGTCAGCAGAATGCAGTACTGCATTCTAACCACTGCGCCACCATGGCTCCTTCAACATGTACAAAACATAAGCCCTAATCAGCATGGTGGTAGTGATTGAGTTGGAAATATTTGCAAGCTTGGAAAGGCTACAGCATCATGGTTCTTGGTCCAAGAAGCTAGTCATCTGCAATGACGGCCTGTTGATAGGAAATCTATAGAGAACATTGTAGAAACATCTGGAGGATACTAGACAGGTATGGACTTTGGCCCACACCCGTTTTTACTCGAACCTAGATGACTGAACATGGTCTGACAAAATTGGTTCAAACTACACCCGGAAATGTCCATTAATCAGTACTCCTCTCAAGAAACGTTCCCTGCATGTAGAAAGCCACCATCTCACGGACAAGTTCTTTATACAGCTAGTTGTTGCCTAGCAACCAAGTTACAATGGACCTCTCCAGAGGTACTTAACAACCTGGTTCTGGAGTCCCAACAGCTGTGTTCCCCCCCACAGTCACATGATCACGTGTTGGGCACTTGGCAATCCACTCACATTTGTGGACATTTGCAGTGTCCACAGTAACATGACTTTTTTTAGCAGTTCTTGCCTGTTTCCGGTGTTTACTTACGTTTTCTGGCAAAAAAAAATGCCCATTAAGTAAAACATTCACTTACCAACCAAGACGTTCTCTTAACCACCAAAAAAGGTGTAAAATCAGGACCTGCTAAAGAACCACCACAACTTAAGACTAACTTGAGGATCAATCATACGTCTCTAGGACTACCTGAAATGGCTGAGTTCATGTGCTATGTGTAACCATAAGTAATCAAACTGAATTCACAAATCATGCTGAATGGTAAATGAACCAAACTGGGTGATTTGTCAGTGACTTCATTGTGGTTCAAGACAAAAAAAAATTAAGATGTGTGGACTTTAACTCCCAGAATTCCTCAGCCAACCCAGGCTGGCTGGGGAATGCTGGGAG